CGTGACTTTTAATTTGCCTTTTGGTTAGAAGGAAAAACTAGCGTGCTAAGGCTATGTGTAGCCATACTCGCTCGTTTCCCTTACCAGAAGGGTGACTCCCTAACCTAATCAAGCAAATGACCTTAAAAACTAGAATGAAATGCGACCCTAAATGTGCAAGGGAAAGGGAGTGAAGGGTCTTGCAAGAATGTAACAATACTAACAAATGCATGAAAAGGTAGTGAGGGCATGCGAATATGTACTAGCGAGGGACGGCCCTATTGGGTCTAGCATTGGACTAGCCCTTTACTAACGCTCATTTACAAGCATTGGACTTGTAAAAACTCGAGGGGAAGGCCATGACTAGCATTGGACTAGCCACGGTGACGTGCATCTATATCCACCATATATAATCAATAGGCATGGTTAAAGCAAGTAAGCATGTGAGCACGTAATTCACATAACACGTAAGCATGCATATCTAGATGTCAAATCCCTACACAAGCGGTAACACATAGCACATAGGCATGCAAAACACACATAAGGCAAATAAAAACCCTAACTATTACATTCGGGGGGAAAGTCTACTACAATCTAAAGGGGGAAATAAAATTAAAATACCTAACTATTACAAATTTGGCATTCAAGTGCCTTCCCCAAATAATTACAAATGGAATTAAAATAAATAAACAAAATTGAAACAACTAAAGCGAATAAATAAAATAAAACATTCAAAGTGCATGCAATAAAACACGTACATTCACGTAGGGCAAGTAGGATCAAATAAAGGTAAAATAAGGGATAGAGTGTACCTCCCTTGCAAATTGGGGCCCTAATGAAGTGAAATCATTTATTTACCCTCCAAAATAATAAAAGGGTCAAGGTACCACTTTAATTAATGAATAATCACATGAAATGGAATCCAAAGCATTTAAAGGAAGGTGAATAACTCATGTAAGAATTAAAACAAGTAGTGACTTGGTTGCAAAAAATTAAAGGAAATTTGAGGGGTCAATTTGATTGATTTTTTCAATTATTTGGGCCATAGTGAAACAAGAAGAGACTTGGGGGGTTAAAGTGCGATTGTTTTGGACATTTTTCATGCAAAAGCATGCAACCCAGGAAGGAAACTTGTTTCTGCCATAATTCTGCTGTGTTTCAATACTCACCACGCGCATCACCAACAAACCTCAACATTCACAAGACACTACCCCCAAACATCGACCCACTTGGATTCCCCACTCTTATTACAAGACTAAGGGAGAAAAATCGGACTGAAAACTGACCGTGATGCAAGAAATAAAAGCAAAAAGAAGAAGCAAAAATGCAGCAACGGCCAAACAAAAGTGCAGCAAACATTTCCTTATTCTCTGTGATTTTACAACTTCATTAGCTAATCAGGGAGCTCACATTAGATTCCAAAACCATCATAAAACATTAGCTTAGACATGCAAACCAAGGGGAGATGAGAAAACTGGCAAGTTTGGAATCATTCCTATGTTCCTTGCTGCAATTTTCATTCAACAGCTTTTGCAACTCCATGAAACTTTCGGCCAGCGAGATTCATGCAAGACTTGATCTATTTCCAATCCAACGTGGCTACAACTTAATAACAATGAGATTCTTGGAAGACTTTTCATGCAAAGCATGCAACTTACGAAGAAAAATGAGCTTCTGCAATCTGGAAAAAAATGAAACCTGCTGCAATTACTTCAAAATTTTTTTCCCGCGTCTATTCTTATGCAATTTAGATGCATTCATGCAAGCAAACCAAGAAAATGACAGGAATGAATTGTTATCTAGACAAAAATACCAGAGCTTGGAACCGAAAAGAAAGAAAAACAAGAGGACAAGGCTGTGAGTTTCTGGTTCGACAAGCTAAAATGCGTTTTCCAGTAAGTACTTGGACATAATTCAAATATCTTCTAAACCGAAACACACAAACTCAGCACTAAACTTTCCATTTCTTCCCTTCAACACAGGATTAAAGATGCAACTTAAGTGCGAAAACTCAAAGAGCAGTCACGGAGAAGAAAACAACACAGAAAAGGCGACGGCTTTTTGTCTTGCTGCTAATTTTACAGATTCAAGCTTGTGTAGATTAAATGCCAAAACATTGCACAAAACTCACACACATTTTCAAACATCCATCTATCATTGATCAAGCATGGTTGCCTTCCCCCAAAATACCCCAAGTCCCAACCGAGATGATCCAGGCCCAAGAAAACAAGAATAAGCCAAAATTACAGCAAAGAAACTCAAACAAAACACATGCTCGTACCACTTCACTCAACCGAAACATATTTACGCAAATAAAGCCTATCGATTTCACCTTCCCAATTCCAATTTTACAGCTTCTAATCCATTGTTAACACAGCACATATATAATTACCTACATCGATTAAGTTCAAATAATGCCACTTAAACATGAAGAGTGCAGCAAAGGGAACGAAAGAGGACTGCAAATGAATAAACCAACAAGTGACAGGGGGAAGAACCATAAGATTAGTTCAGAAGAGTACCTGACGAAGCTTTTGGATCAAAATCCGGACAGGAAACTCCATGAAAGAGCGGCTGAAGTTGTTCCGTTGCGGCTCCGAACCCGCACCAGCGAAGTCAAGCAGCGATCTTTGGGGGCAAATCCGAAAACTTTATCAATGTCTTCTGCGAACGATTTCTGAACAAAATCTTCTCCCTTTACTTCCTAGTTGGTGCAGAATTCAAAATTTTCTTGAAATCATCAAAGACCGAAGAGATATGAGAGCTGAAACATGGCTGATAATCAGCCTTTGTTGAAAAAATTGCAGCTTTTCATTCTTTCCTTTTCTCTCTTTCGAATCTCTCTCTTCAGCTCTCTCTTTTGATCTCTCTTCTGTCCCTTTGCTCAGGTTTCTTGCTTCAGGCTGTAGCCTCCTCAGTTTTTCTCTCGGTGAAGATTTGCGGCTGATGACGGCGCGATGAAGACGATGACAGCTTCCTCTCTCGGCCTTATCTTTGTCTCGGGCTTCAAACACTCTCTCACTCTCAGTTCTCCCTCGCTCTCCTCAGTTTCTCTTTATCTCTCCAACTCAGCCGTTCTCTCAGCCCTCAAGCTCTTACTCACTCTCGGCTCTTGCCCTTCATCAGCCGTCATATCTTTTTTTTTCTTTGGCCGTCACATTCTCAGCTTTTATATGGGAAGCCCCTTCCCGAAACCTAACATCTAAGGCTCAGAAAAAACTCAATTCTTTTGCCCTTTTTTTACATCCTTGGATCTTCATAATTTCTGGGGTATTTTGATAACCTTAGATCAAACCAAGTAGTTTGTTGTTTGAATGATCGAACGGAGGAGAAAAAGAGTAAGAGAAAATGGAGCTGAAATTGTTTTTGCATCCTCTGTATTTTTCCGTTTCATTTTTTCTGCTTGAAATGCAATATGAAGTAAAGGCTCGAATCATGTGTGGCTCACGCAAGTGTGAGCTCGCTCCCCTTTTTCCATTTTTTTTTCAATTAATAAACAGTAAAAAGAAATAAAACATATTTTTCATGGATAATTTTTCTTTTGACGAATTTTGTGCTAAAAGTCTTACAATAAAAATAAACAGCTAAAAGGGCGAAACTAATGCAAAAATAAAAACTAAAATAAAACAATAGATAATAATAATAATCTAAAATGCTATACAAATGCTAAAAGTCTAAACTAAAATCATGAAATTAACAAATAAGCATAGATAAGAATGATTACTAAAATAAAGAATAAAAATGGAATGAAAATTATTCAAAAATTTGGTGTCTACAGTGCTCATCCTTGTGATTGGTCTTCAAGTTTGAGGAAAGCTTGGTAGACAATCGGTTTGATACTCTATCTTATTCCTTTTTGTTTAATAAAATTCTCACTGCTTATAGATACTCTTATTTCTGATCAACATTGCTCTCTTCTTTAAATTTACTTGGCTGATCACTACTAGAAAAGAAGGTAAATTTTTATTAAAGAAAAAGTGCATAAACTCAATAAAGTATTTTTAATCAACCTAATTCACCCCCCCTCTTAGGTTGTCTTTGGGTTTTACATAATTATATGTGGAAATATTGTCATGAGGTTAATTTTCTTGAAATTGAGGTTGTTGGCAGGGAGTTTCATCCATTTTTATGGGGAAACTCTGTCAAAATTTTTCTAAAATATTTTCCAATATTTCATTGCAATTCTTCCAAATATTAATGGCCAAAATGTTCAATTTTAAGTACCTAATTCTTCCATTGGATAAAATGTTATATGTATTTTGGAAAAGTTTAGTCCTTATTTGGCTTGGAATGAATAATTATGCAATTAGGATTTTTACATTTTAGAAAGTATATTTGGTTAAATAAGAAAAATTATGTTTAGAATTTTGCATGATTAATGATATTTCTCATTTTTACTTAATTTTATAAGTGATTGATATGGTCAAAACAAAGCCAAATTCTTCCTTTAATTATGTTAGAGGGAAAAGAAATCATATGTTATCATTAAAAAAAAGAGGAGAGAGAAAAATACATATATTATTAATTTTCTACTCCAATGATTCACATACTGAGTAACCGGGGGTTGGCATTTACAAATGTCGACATTCGCGTAAAAAGGTATTGGAATTAAGAGTATACTTAGCAATTTGAATAAATAAAATGTTGAGTAACCGGAAATTTTCACCTAAAAGTGTTGATTTTCGCGTAAAAAGGCATTTTCACTATTTAAATAAATGAAATGTGAATAAATCCCTCTAAATTGTTAAGTTTTGGGATGATAAAGGCCATAAAATTGACTATGTAATTTACTTATTTGTGGAATTAGGATAGAATGAAAGATTGATTTGAATTTGTTGAAATTAAGGCATAATTATTTTTATTCAATTGAATATTATGAGTATTTAGTATAATCTGAGAAATGGCATAATGATTGATTTTTAGGTTTTTGAGGAGTTAAATTTGACAAAAGTACGTATATTGTTTATCTATTGAATCATTGAAGTAAGTTTTGAGTGGATTAATGCGTTAATTTTATGAAATTGTGAAGGTTATTGATGTATGAAATTCATTAACGAGCTGAAAGAAATGTAAGGATCATCCAGAGGACAAAGTACAAAAGAAATTGGGAGCAGAAATGTAGAAAAAGGAAAGAAGCGAAAAACTGGAAATTTGATCAACACGGATCCGAGCTCGGATCCGTGTGAACAAGAGGGATCCGAGCCCTCGTCTGTACTTCTGGAAGAGTGTATCCGAGGACAGGACGATCCGACCTCGGATCCATCATGAGAAGTCCTCAGATCCATTTTCACCCCTCGGATCCGAGGCTCGGATCTGCTTCTCTCTCCTGCAAGTGGCACTGCCATTTTTTCTCACTTTTCACACAACTTTTCAGCTATTTGGAGTGAGTGAATTCGGTGGCACATGCTTCTGCAACAAAAAGGAAGACAAAATGAGTTGTTGAGAAGTCAAAACAATGTATCTTTTGACTTCCTTTACAAAATCTAAGTGGTTGAAATCATGAAGGAGAAAAAATTGCCTTTCTACCACCTTTTATGCAGAGACACAAGGGAGAAGCAAGGGGATGACCATACGTAGCTAGTTTTCCTTCTTGTAATAACTTTCTCTATAGCTAGGGGGTTCTTGAAGAAGCATGAGGAGTTCTTTTACTTGTAATCATATTGTACAAGAGTATAGTAGGAATTGAAGAGTTTCACTTTCAATTGGCTAAGCTTTCTTTTATCTTTCTTGTACTTGTACTTTATGATATTTTACATTAATAAACTTGTGAGTTTGATTGTTAAATCATTCATGAGTAGCTAATTTTCTTTATCTAGGGAGTAGATGAAACTTATGGCTAAATAATATGAATTGAATGTGGCTTACACTTGTTATATCTTGTATTAACTTGTTTACTTGTGTAGCTGTGATTACTTGTTATTGATTGATCACCAATAGCATGTTTATAGTTGTTATTGCTCAATGAGAATTGGCAGTAGTAATGGAAAAATATGAGTAGAGCTTAAGTTGTATGTTCATGAAAATAGAGATACACTTAAGTGGATTACTTAGTATTTCATGAAAGAAAACAGAGTAGTTGTAGTATTTCACCATGAAAATAGGGAAAACTAAACTACTCTAGGCCATTTTATCATGAGAATGAGATTTGGTAATATTGGAAATGAATCCCTAGTTGAACAAGAATAATAACAAGAGGTAAATCCATTCATTTGTATTGTTTATGTCATAAGTGGAATCTACATCCCTAGAGTCTTCCTTACGTGAAATTTCTCCATTTGCATTTAGCATTTGTTAAACTAGATTTGTATATCAGATTTGTAGATTATAGCAATATACTTTCTCTGCTCAAATAAATTGTAAATCTAAATAATAGAGAAAACAAGGGCTTAGTAATTGTTTAAATTGCTCCTCGTGGGATCGATCCGATACACACCTTGTATTACAATTTCGACCTGTATACTTGCAGTCCAGTGGGTGTATAATCGGATTTAAACTTGCATTGATATAAAAATCCCGTCATGTGTAAATGTATAAGAAAGAGTTTATATATCACAATGTATTAATTAATATATTGCATCATATTTGAGTCATGAGTTTAAGGTAACCCAATATGACCCAACCCAAAATAACCCAATTTAAAGTTGGGTGGGTTGGGTATAACCCATTTAAGTGAAAATCTAATTTCAACCTGTTCAAAACCCAACCCTCCCAATTGCCAGTTAAGAGTCTTCTAGAATAGTAAAGATTGTGACTTTAGTAAAGCAATAAGTGTCATTAGTAGAAGACTTAACAAAAAATTTGTCAATAAAAACTAAGATGGTACCCTTACTAATAACACATTTTTGGGCATAAATTGGTTCTTTGTAGAAATAAACTTTCCTAAACAATCAAGTTTGAATAAAAATTTTATCTGTTTGGCAACAAAGTTGTGAGTTATAATTAAATATAAGTATTTTTTCTTAAAATAGAGTGAAGATTATGTATTTTTGAGAAAAGGTTATATATTTTTAAATATACTTAAAAAGTGGTACTTGCATCATATACTTAAACAGTAATATCTTTTCTCAAATAGTAGTATCTTTCCTTATAATATGTTTTCTTGTATTTGCAAAATCCACGATTTGTTAATAACATAGTAATAAACTAGTTCCTTTGCACTTTATTATGTTCTATAATTTTTACTTTTTTGAACAAAATTATTAAAAAATTTTAAAATGCTATTTTATAAAATATAATATACTAATTGTCGCGCCCCACTTTTCGATTGAATTGAATGATGTGTGATGAATGTGTGGTGTGAACGTGTGCAAAATAAAAAGTAAAAGGCCATGGGACTTTGGAAAGCGACGATTTGGCCAAATGAAATTTTAAAAAGGGTTTTTTAAATATGAAAACGGAGTCGCCACTTGGTATAGATTTGGGGTGTACCAAGTCACCCAAAAGGTGTTTTTTAAAGACAAGTAGTAAACAACCCTTTTTAAAACGACTCCTAGTCCACGTAAGCCAAAGAAAAAGGTTCGGGAGTCACGTTTGACAAAGGGGAAGGCAAGGATAGAATCCAAGGCACCCCTTTGACCTAGCCAAGGCTAGTTGCGCGACTTAACCTTACCTTTCCTAGTTTTCTACCCAATGTATGTTCGCACGTTGGATATGACTATATGAATGCAAAACGGAAAGGAAAATGCAATCCTAGATGCTACATTGTCTCTTATGAGGCTTGTGGTCCCAAACCACATGAATTGTGGCGGCCAACAAAGGAAAACCTCATAGAGGTCGATTAATGCAAATGAGATTCGAGTGCGCAAGTGTGAAGGTGTATGAAAGAAGTGTAAGTGCAAGTGCTTGTGTGAAATTGTATAAAGGTGCTCGTGTGAAATGGTATAAAGTTCAAGTATTTTCGTGTGCAAGTGTATGAAAAGGTGCATGTAGAAATAGAATGTAAAGTGGAATTTCATTTGTGAAGTGAAAATAAGCAAGTGATAGGTAACATGTAGTAAAAAGGTAGAGAAATGTGAAAAAATGTGATTAAAAGAGTATGTAGGTGATAAAAAATGAAAGTATGATCCTAGAGGAATGCAACAAGTCGGGTACGGGGGTTGACCCCTAACTTTTCGACTTTGATTTTCCCTTTGATTAGAAGGCAAAACTAGCGTGCTAAGGCTATCGAGTAGCCACACTCGCTCGTTTCCCTTATCAGAAGGGGACCCTCAAGCAAATGAACCCTATAGCTATATGGGATGCAAAACCTAAAATGAAGGGAAAGGGGTTCGAGGAGCATGCCAAGTGATAAAACTAAGAAAAATGCATGATATGTGGTGAACAAACAAATGATATGCTAATGAGGGGAAATCCCTAAGGGTCTAGCGTTGGACTAGCCCATTCTATGAATTCCGACTAGCGTTGGACTAGCGGAAACGTACATTCATCCATTCCATTCATTCATGGCTATGAAAGCAAGTAGACATGCCAAAATACTCGTAAACACATAGCACATAGCATTTAGCATGCTCGACTAGATGCAAGAGCCTAATAAAGCAATTAAACATATAGCAACAAAAACAAGCAAGCAAGGGGAAGGGGAAGTGGACCAGATGCTCTCCGAGCGCTATCTATTACAAGCCAAGAGGTGTACACATACCCCATAAAAGCATAAAGGGGAAGGGGAAATGGACCAGATGCTCTCCGAGCCCTATCTATTACAAGCCAAGAGGTGTACACATACCCCATAATGAATAACTTAAATAAAAAGCAAAAGTAAATAAAATAAATGAAAGAATTAAGGAAAGACAAGGAAAGCAAAGTAGACATGCATATTCACATAACACGTAGGAGCACGTAGGAAAAATAAACTCAAGAATATAGAAGTTACCTCTTTTGCAATTGGGGCCCAATGAAATGAAATCAACTATTTACCCTCCAAAATACAAAGAAAAGGTCAAGGCACCAATTTATTTGGCAAATAATCACAAAGGATAAAAATAAGCATGAATTGAATCAATTGAATCATGTCAAAACCCACATTTAAGAAGTCAAAAGAAGAAGGGACTTAATTGCAAAAGCGAACAAAGTTTTGGGGTCAAAATTAAAGAAAAATAAAGTTCAGGGACTTAATTACAATTAATTTAAGGACCGAATTGAAAGAAGTTGAAAATGTCCAGGGCCACAATACATCTAAGGAGAAATTCAGGGGCTGATTTGCAGATTTGCTTTCTGGTTTCTTAGTGGATCAAGCCACTGGGCTATTGCCTTTATTTGTTTGGGCCAAAGTTTCCCAGCCCAATGGAAATTCAAAGCAAGAAGGGAATGAACCATTTTATTTGTTCGTTTGGGCCAAGACCGTCCAAACCCAATCGGAAATCCAAAACAAAAAGGGAATGGGCCATCTTCCCCTTTCTTGGGCCAAGATCACTTGGCCCAATCGAAAGTCCAAGGGAAAACAAGTGGGCTAGTATATTATTTTGGCCCAAAGATTAGCCAACCAAATAGATGGGCCTTGACCCTCTAGCCCAAACCCCAAAAAAACAAACACAATAAATTAAAACAACTTTCTTAAGCCCAAACAAAAATAACCTCTTAGCCCAAAACACTTGTTCCATTAAACCCAACATGATAAAATCAAATAGAATTATTAAACCACAATTATAACCTACAAACAAGAATTAATCTGGTCAAAAGACTACTCATGCATATTAGAAGATGATTAAAATCTAAAAGGGAGAAACAAGTCTACTTGTTTTTAAATTTCCGGGTCATATCAGAACAAGGTGGGACTTGCGGGGTTCCAATGCAATGCAGATAGGGGCCTAACAGAATGAATTATGAATGATTTGGGGTCGGATTATAAACTTCAGAAACTTCAGGACGGAATCACAAACAAGAGAGAAAAAAAAAAAAAAAAAAAGAGGGACCGAAATTATGAATTAAACACACGATCATCTTCTTCAATCAGGCTAAATGCTCGCTGCCATGTTTTTAGACGAAGAACACCAGAAAGCTCAACTTCAGATTCCAAAAGAAACTCTCACACGAATTCCATCTCAATCCCTCTCATGCCATATTATTTTGGGTTTACAAAACACGAGGGAAGGGAAAACAGAAAAAGATGCACTAAAATTTATCCAAACGTGAGGAAACGGATTGGCCGACTTAGCCAGTTCCTTCACACAAGAAGTGCAACAAAATCTTTCAACAAAAGTTTTCGGCTAGACATTTCATCGAACAGATTGGGGGCACTAAAAGCTTCACCAATTCTTTGATATATTGAAACTATGACCGGCCCAAAATTATTCAGAAACAAAATTTCAGTCACATTAATCTCATAAGAGCACGCACGATCAAAAGAATGACGGGCAATCAATCAAGAAACTCGCAACAACCAATTCACGGAATCATGCTTGGGGTTGGGGATTTTTCCAGAACTTGCATTTGAAGAAGCAAAACTGAAATTCAAAGGAACGTAGCTACTTACCGTACTCCTTCTCAGTGAATGTTCGCCGGTGATGGTGGTAATTTCCGGCGAACGGCGTCTGCTCCCATTCCTCCGCCATCCACTTTCTCTGTTTCCCTCAACCTCCCGAAGCTTTCTTGCGTTCTTCTTGCCAGTAGGTTCTTGTCCGCCGCCCCTCCGTTTCTCGTTGTGCACATATTTTCTGGGCAAAGATTTGCCGATGGCAGTGGACTCGATGAGGTGGGGGTGGTGGCTCCTCGTTGGTGCAGCAGCTTCGGCTACTCTGTTTTTTCTTTCTCTATCCGTTTCTGTTTTTGCCCGTTGCCCCTATTCTCTCAATCCCAGCTCTTTCTGTTTTTTCCTTTTGCTTTCTTTTTGTCTACCCCAAGCCTCCCCTGTTATTTCCAACCCTTTTTGCTCTCCCCCATTTCCATTTTTCTGTTTTGCCCGTAACCTCCTTAGCCGAAGCCCAACTTCCAGATTTTCCTCTGTTTTTTTTTTGGCTTCCCACTCCCAAAGCTCAAAACTTCTCTTGTGTTTTTTAATTTTTCCTTTTTTACCACTTAGCCGCTTTCCCCCCCCCCCCTTTCTGTTTTCGGCTCCTCTCCTTTCAATGCCTTCCCCAAAAACTAACCCTAAAATGAAAGGTTCAGATCTCATCCTCCAAAAATAGTCTTATGTGCAAAAATAAAATAGAATAAGATGAAGTTAAACCCTAACACCGAAAACAAATTGAATTAAAAATTAAATGATTGAAGTTTAATTTAAATGATAAAATGACTTAAAAAAAATAAAAATAAAAATAATCAAATAATCAAATAATAGAAATAATAGTAAACAAAATTTCTTAAAAATTTGGTGTCTACAGTTTGCCCCTCTTTGTCTGAGTTTTGGAAAAACTTGAGACAAAGAAGTAGACACCAAATGCTTACCTGTGCCATTCGGTTACGAGTGTCTCGAACAATGGATGCTTTAGAAATGGGGACTGACCCCTTTGACAAAAATTTAGAATGGGATTGATCCAAACAGAAAATTTAAAATCGGGATTGACCCGAACAGAAATTTAAAACGGGGATAGACCCACGGGATAGACCCGGACAGAAATGTAAAATTGGGATAGACCCGAACAGAAATTTTAAAAATTGGGATAGACCCACGGGATAGACTCGGACAGAAATTTAAAATTGGGATAGACCCACGGGATAGACCCGGACAAAAATGTAAAATTGGGATAGACCCGAACAGAAATTTTAAAAATTGGGATAGACCCACGGGATAGACCCGGACAGAAATTTAAAATTGGGATAGACCCGGACAGAAATGTAAAATTGGGATAGACCCACGGGATAGACCAGGACAGAAATTTAAAATTGGGATAGACCCACGGGATAGACCCGAACAGAAATGTAAAATTGGATAGACCCACGGGATAGATCCGGACAGAAATGTAAAATTGGATAGACCCAACGGATAGACCCGAACAGAAATTTCAAATTGGGATAGACCCACGGGATAGACCCGAACAGAAATTTTAAAAATTGGGATAGACCCACGGGATAGACCCGGACAGAAATTTAAAATTGGGATAGACCCGGACAGAAATGTAAAATTGGGATAGACCCACGGGATAGACCCGGACAGAAATTTAAAATTGGGATAGACCCGAACAGAAATTTAAATGGGATGAATTGAAGTGAGATGGAGTATTGGTGGGGTTGACCCATGTTTATTGGTGATGCAAATGAAAGAAGCGAAATGAAGTGTTAATGGGACTGATCCACGTTCCAGTGGTTGTGAAAATGAAATGTCTCGACAATCGGACAGTGGGATCAAACCCGAGCCTGCCGTGATGAACTTGATTTGATTTTTTGATTTTTGGGTTTTTGGATTTTTGGATTTTTTTCTTCTTTTTTTTTTTAGGGAACCTTTTCAAAATTTGCCCCAGTATGATGAATTGGTCAGTGAGACGACATCCGAGCCTAACGGGGTGTGGACGGTCAGCGGGATAAAACCCGGTCCTGCCGAGATTGGCGGGATAAAACCCGGTCCCAATTTGATAAAAACGGTCAGCGGGATTAAACCCGGTCCTGCCGAGATTGGCGGGATGAAACCCGGTCCCAATTTGATAAAAACGGTCAGCGGGATTAAACCCGGTCCTGCCGAGATTGGCGGGATGAAACCCGGTCCCAATTTGATAAAAACGGTCAGCGGGATTAAACCCGGTCCTGCCGAGATTGGCGGGATGAAACCCGGTCCCAATTTGATAAAAACGGTCAGCGGGATTAAACCCGGTCCTGCCGAGATTGGCGGGATGAAACCCGGTCCCAATTTGATAAAAACGGTCAGCGGGATTAAACCCGGTCCTGCCGAGATTGGCGGGATGAAACCCGGTCCCAATTTGATAAAAACGGTCAGCGGGATTAAACCCGGTCCTGCCGAGATTGGCGGGATGAAACCCGGTCCCAATTTGATAAAAACGGTCAGCGGGATTAAACCCGGTCCTGCCGAGATTGGCGGGATGAAACCCGGTCCCAATTAGTCTTGAATAAAAACTCACAGGGATAAACCGGTCCTGCCGAGTTTGGCGGGATGAAACCCGGTCCCAATTTGATAAAAACGGTCAGCGGGATTAAACCCGGTCCTGCCGAGATTGGCGGGATGAAACCCGGTCCCAATTTGATAAAAACGGTTAGCGGGATTATACCCGGTCCTGCCGAGATTGGCGGGATGAAACCCGGTCCCAATTTGATAAAAACGGTCAGCGGGATTAAACCCGGTCCTGCCGAGATTGGCGGGATGAAACCCGGTCCCAATTTGATAAAAACGGTCAGCGGGATTAAACCCGGTCCTGCCGAGATTGGCGGGATGAAACCCGGTGCCAATTTGATAAAAACGGTCAGCGGGATTATACCCGGTCCTGCCGAGATTAGAATAAAACACACGCGTTAGTGAGATAGACTCGACGCTAACGGTGGTAGGATGAAAACACGCACGTTAATGAGATAGACTCGATGCTAACGGCGGTTGAAGTGAAAAACAATCCCAACATGACTTTTGTGAAGTTGGCGGCATAAAATCCAGGCCCAACATGATAAAGTGGCGTTGGCGGCACCAAGTCCAGGCCCAACTTGATGTTGTGATGTTGGCGGCACGAGACTCAGGCCCAACGTGATAAAGTGAATGGCCAGTGGGATAAGACCCAATCCTGCCATCCAATTGGTCAAGAAATTAAGCGTGATTGTCAAAGAAAAGAGGGAAATAGAAGAGTGCGCGGCATATGCCAAGACATCGCCAACAAGAATTGATTTTTCAAGAAACAAAAAAAAAATGAATTTGATTTTCCTTGATTTTTCTGATTGATTTTTGATTGATGATTTTTGGATTTTTTTGGATTTTTGATTTTCGAGAGAATCTTTTCCAAAAATACATTGCCTCAGTGTCGGCCCTTTTCTTCTTCTTTCTTCTTGCTTCACTTTTCCGGCATCGGCCTTCCATCTCAATTGATGTTTCTCCATTGTT